CCCGGAGACACAGCAAACAGCATGCATTCTTGTCCTGGAATCCTACCTGGTCATAGTTTTTCAATTTCATTAAACACAACTTTATTTAGGTGTCTGAACCATGTAAGCATAATATAAAATAAAACAGTTTAGGTCCTTACATAAAACAGGGAAGTTACTCACATCCCCATCCCTTGATAATCCAGTCTTTATAAGTGATGTTGAGGCTAACACTACCACCAACTGCAGACTCAAAAATGACCATAAAGTTCACTTATACATAAAAGTTCTGTTATGTGAATACAGATTTCCGCTAACTGCAACCATCGTAAACCATACATGTATATAGAAGCATATCGGCTTCCTCCCCAGAGGCCAACAGCAACAGTGTACGTGAACTATTTGGTCCATCCATTCCTATGTTTACTTCTTTCCTGGTTCAGACAGACTCTTTCTTACTGTTCATTCCTGCACACAGCAGATGTGAGTCACTGGACTGATATTTATCTGTGCGTGACTCATGTCATCAACCATCAGTGATATTACCGAGGGGTGGCACATTATCTGTGGTTCAGCCTATATTTGTAAGTTCGTACATACAGTGGGTACGGAAAGTATTCAGACCCCTTTAAATTTTTCACTCTTTGTTTCATTGCAGCCATTTTCCAAAAATCCAAAAAGTTCATTTTATTTCTCAGTAATGTACACTCAGCACCCCATCTTGACAGAAAAAAACAGAAATGTAGAAATTTTTGCAAATTTATTAAAAAAGACAAACTGAAATATCACATGGTCATAAGTATTCAGACCCTTTGCTCAGTATTTAGTAGAAGCACCCTTTTGATCTAATACAGACATGAGTCGTTTTGGGAAAGATGCAACAAGTTTTTCACATCTGGATTTGGGTATCCTCTGCCATTCCTCCTTGCAGATCCTCTCCAGTTCTGTCAGGTTGGATGGTAAACGTTGGTGGACAGCCATTTTCAGGTCTCTCCAGAGATGCTCAATTGGGTTTAAGTCAGGGCTCTGGCTGGGCCATTCAAGAACAGCCATGGAGTTGTTTGAAGCCACTCCTTCGTTATTTTAGCGGTGTGCTTAGGGTCATTGTCTTGTTGGAAGGTAAACCTTCGGCCCAGTCTGAGGTCCAGAGCACTCTGGAAAAGGTTTTCGTCCAGGATATCCCTGTACTCGGCCGCATTCATCTTTCCCTCGATTGCAACCAGTCGTCCTGTCCCTGCAGCTGAAAAACACCCCCACAGCATGATGCTGCCACCACCATGCTTCACTGTTGAGACTGTATTGGACAGGTGATGAGCAGTGCCTGGTTTTCTCCACACATACCGCTTAGAATTAAGGCCAAAAAGTTCTATCTTGGTCTCATCAGACCAGAGGATCTTATTTATCACCATCTTGGAGTCCTTCAGGTGTTTTTTAGCAAACTCCATGCGGGCTTTCATGTGTCTTGCACTGAGGAGAGGCTTCCGTCGGGCCACTCTGCCATAAAGCCCCGACTGGTGGATTGCTGCAGTGATGGTTGACTTACTACAACTTTCTCCCATCTCCCGACTGCATCTCTACCTCTCTCACCAAGGCTCTTCTCCCCCGATAGCTCAGTTTGGCCGGACGGCCAGCTCTAGGAAGGGTTCTGGTCGTCCCAAACGTCTTCCATTTGAGGATTATGGAGGCCACTGTGCTCTTAGGAACCTTAAGTGCAGCAGAAATTTTTTTGTAACCTTGGCCAGATCTGTGCCTTGCCACGATTCTGTCTCTGAGCTCTTCAGGCAGTTCCTTTGACCTCATGATTCTCATTTGCTCTGACATGCACTGTGAGCTGTAAGGTCTTATATAGACAGGTGTGTGGCTTTCCTAATCAAGTCCAATCAGTATAATCAAACACAGCTGGACTCAAATGAAGGTGACCATCTCAAGGATGATCAGAAGAAATAGACAGCACCTGAGTTAAATATGAGTGTCACGGCAAAGGGTCTGAATACTTATGAACATGTGATATTTCAGTTTTTCTTTTTTAATAAATTTGCAAAAATTTCTACATTTCTGTTTTTTTCTGTCAAGATGGGGTGCTGAGTGTACATTACTGAGAAATAAAATGAACTTTTTTGATTTTTGGAAAATGGCTGCAATGGAAAAAAGAGTGAAAAATTTAAAGGGGTCTGAATACTTTCCGTACCCACTGTATACTTTCTCCACCGAACAAACACACTACTGTTCACTGGGAGAGCATTGTTGTTAAGTGTTCAGATGTCACAGGGTCACACATGTGAACACACCTTCCCCTTCATTAATCCCTGTAAGTGCTTAAGCTTCACACAGCTAGTCAGAGTCATGAACACAATGAAGACATGATAGAACTGTATAACATATCTACACTGTGCATGTGTCTGGGGTCTATATATATATATATGTACACATGCCAGTACATAAATCATATAATCATCAGACTCAGGAAAAGATGAGTCTGTGATGTGCATCCTAAAAATGTTGATGAACAATATTTTTTTTCTAATTACACTATCTGGAAATAGATTGCATTCAGTATTTTTAGATTTATTTGACAGTCACTCTAAGCAATGTCTGAGCTTTAGCTAAAAATGCAATTTGCCACGTAATCACTGTAGGATACTGTCTTAACAGGCGGCCCAACTGTATCTATCACTTACAGTAGACAGGAACAATTGTACAAACACGCTCAGTGGCCAAGAGGCTAGAGGATGGACATATGTACTGATGATTGGATATTGTGCTTGAGTCACATTAATACAATGTATACAGAAATGCATCATCTAGCTGATATTAACACACAGATGGCATTGGATACAAAATAGTTATACACTGTCATTGGAAATGAATCCAAGTGGACCCTTCTTGAATATGGTAATGGAGTGGTGTCTCTATTCTCCATATACTGTATTTATGGCAAGTCCACTACTTAAAGCTTGGTGAAATAATATTCAACTGATTATTTTTGAAGTGCTAAAGAAGCAGTTCACGGTTGAGTGTGCGCTGTGACTGCCCTACCAACGAGCCTGGCTCTTTGGTGTTGTGGTCAAGTTGCATGTTTGGTACCCTGTAGACCTGGGTTTGAATCCGGGTGGGGTGACTGGTCTTGCCTTTCCATCACAACGGTTAAAAGTAAAATTGTCCATGTTGGTCTCAACCACCACACAACTGTGAGGAGATGATATGCCCTCCTAATGTCATTCCAGAGTAAAAGAAGGGGTACATGACCCACAGATCTGTATAAAAAGAAATGCACTGTGAAGTTAATCTTTAGTTTATGTGAAACTTTAAAGTAACAGCTAAATCCCTCTTTCTGTTTTCCTACACAGTGGTTCTTCGCTGAGCTGTGGTGAAGGGATAGTAACACATGGTACAAGAGGCTGCTGACTAACTTCTGACAGAGCCATGCACTGGCCAAAGTATCAAAGGTAGTAGATTTCTCAATTACTGCACTTAAGGTAAATTTTGAGGTACTTACTTGAGTGTATCCGTTTTATGTAACTCTATACTTACTAAATGGTACTTTTTACATTTATTTGACAGATATGCTTACTTGTTACTTTGCAGATTAAGATTTTACAGAAAGTATATAATTAGTATATATATTATATACATTATATATATTATATAAGTATATTATAATTATAAAATACAACGGTATTTTATAAGCTTTACAGAAGTGGTTCCCAACCATTTGGCTTGGGGACCTTGCAAAAGACATTGTCTCTTTGGGGCCTTTTGTCATATTTGAGATGTCTATGAGTTGTTAGCAATACCACCAAAAAGACACTTCCTCTCTAAATTTCTAAGGAGCTTTCATTTATACAACTGTTTGAGTCCCATGCGGGTAAAATAAACTAATATTAGATTAAACATACATGTTAACCAATTTGTATCAGAACGTTTCTTCTTTCCTCATAGCATGTCGTGTCAGATTAATCTGGTGACCTCTTGGAGGGGCCCAACCCCTACGTTGGGAACCACTGGACAAACTCTAAAGTAGTTTAAAGAACCCTCAACCCCAACAACGACAGCGGGAAGTGCAGCTTACATTTCGATGCATTAACAATCGAATAATGTCACAATATTATCAGTCACATGGGACATTTTACTGCAGAACCACTACGTTTACTACATTTGTAATTTGCAAGTACATTTGGCTGATAATACTTATGTACTTTTACTTAAGTAGGTATTGTAAAGGTACTTCTGCCACCACTGCAAAGTATTATTTAGATTGTTGCCACCACATTTCACATACAGTGTAGTTAACCATGGCCTATGTGATAGTCTAACACTTAAAATGTACTATTCCCATTCCATTCCATTCCACTCCCCCGCAGAAGTGGTCCCAAAGGTGTCACCAGACCATGTAAGGGATACAGGCTTTTCTATTATTTTTGGCTTTTTGCTTGTGAAATACTGGATACTGAGTCCCTTTTAAAGGCCCAATCTGAGAAGGAAAAAATCAGTCACGGGTCGAACTGCTCATAATGGTTGGCTTTGTCTCATTTTAAGGGGACACTAGCTAATTTGTAGCATGTTTATTACGGTTGCATCCCATTCTTAACTGTCCTTCCCTCATGGCCTCCATGTTTCTTGCTGGAGAGAAGTGGTGGTGTAGCAGGGGAGGAAAAGAGAAGTGCCAATGCTCTGGGATGAATGCGGCATGGAAGGATGATACTGACACTGTCATTTATGCCAACCAGCGACACAACAAACAGCTGGATGATTTCATTTACCTCTTCACACATTTAGCTGAGTAGTACCGTTTACTGATTCACAATCCAGGAAATCTAAGTCACTAGGCTAGGTATGGAATTTTAGAATTACAATTTGGCACCATCCAGTGTTAGTATGATAAAGAGACTTTGGCAGACAGTACTGCCTGACTCGAGACTATGAATGAATGGGCTAGAAGCTTCACATAATGTAGACGCATCCATTTTAAGCAGACAGTGTCATTTCTTTAACAAAAAAACATGCTATCAGACTATGACAGATGCATTCAAATTCTGCACATAGTGGCTTTAAATGTCTGTAAACCTTGAGGTGGGAGAACTAGTACAGACTTAAAAACTCATTTTGAAAAGTTAAGAAAGGAGACAGAATCCAACAGTTGCAGCTCTGTTTTACATGTCATTACAGATAAACCATTGTTTCCTTTTGCATAAACAAGGCATAAAATAACAGTGTTAATAATTAATTACACTTCACTGTGCTCTAATTAACTAAGATTTACTTTTGATAAAATTGATGTCTAATTTCAATATAATGTGAAAAATATATTACTTTACTTACAGCCCCTGATTTATTCCCTACAGAGGGTATGATGATAAAATACAACAGCTGCACAGATGGCCCAATTACTCAAATCAAAACAGTTACTTCACAGAGATCATTAGATCCCTTAGTGCAATTGCAGGCTTTCAATACAAAACCTTCTAATGTATGGCGCTGGCTGTCAGGTTACATGTAGAGCAGAACTATGGGCAGGAGTCATAAAGAAATACAGCAGGATTACATACATCTGGCAACATTTATCCACTTTTGTTACTTGAACTAGTTACCATCACAACTTAAAGCATAAGGGCTACTCTGTGGTACAACAAATTTAACAGCAAATCTGACGTTACAAAAACAAAATCAAAGAGAAGCTGCACACGGATGCTTTTTCACTGGGAGATACAAACAGAAAAAACATTGGTTTTAAAAGAAGTATGCAATGAACCAATTAATGTAGATAAAAATACATATGAACTGTATATAAATAAAGTCGCTTTAAGTCACCTTTTACAAAGGATAGGTCAAACAATGATGATTCTTAATGTTATTGAGTAGTGTAAATGTAACATTTGGATCAAACAGGAACTAAACAGTTAGGCCAGGGGTCTTTGTCCAACAGCTAGTGGAGTAAACATGTAGAGAGCCTTGTTCTGAATACAGGCTGAAAATAAACATGAGTGTGGCAAACGCTCCCACAACCTGAATGTTCACTCAAAATGACACTTTCAAAATAAAAGTCTCAGCTGACCCACTTGAAGTACAGAGAAGTGCAGAAGACTGGGGCATGGTCTTTCTTTTTACATAGTGTGTATCCTTTTGCCATCAAGAAAATTAGTGTGTTGACATCCATGTGATTATGGAGTATATCTGAGTGTATGTGGCAGTAGATTAGAACATTGGTGGGGGACTGGCATGGCTGTTAATTTAGTTGTTAGATGGACTGGTGCCTTAGAGGCAGAGCTCAGAAAAAAAAAAGACAGCATTCTCTAAACACATGTTTTAGTCTGATAACATAACAGGGCTTTGGTATCAGCTGTTGCTTTAACTGGGGGGGAAAAAAGAGCATTCAACATCTTCTGACCTTCAGGCTATGACTCATCTACTGAAACTGAAGTGACTGACATGTTTAGAATTACAATACTTGGAATCGGTGCTGTAGCACGTCCTCTTACAGATTACACCATGGAAGAAGAGCAAACCCTTACTGGACTCCTGCTCAAGAGAGAACCCCAGGTGTGGATTTTCTCCCACCTAAATAGTTTGTTTCTGGGTGTTGTTTCTAATGGCAACTTGTTTTTAATTGAATATGAGGGGGGTTTGATTTCAACTTCTGTTAATTCTTTGCTTTTTCCCTGGCTGAGGACTTGTAGAGATTCTGGGTTTTTACGTCACCATTTCATCACTATGTGGCTCCATGAAGGGCAGAGATCGTGTGCTAATGTGGAAACTAATGCACTGCAGGTCGGCAGTTCTGAAGACCAAACTCAGGCTCCATTCACAGTAGCTTCTATTGTAGTGTAATTAGTGTGTAATTAGTGTTTATATTTGCACTTAGTGTTTTCAAGGCACATAGGAATTGGGATTTAATGATTGAATTTAAAAAAAATAAAGTAAAAACAAAGTACTTTGTGTTGCTCAGTCATTGGGGACTGGGTAAACTTAAAGACCCGTAACTGAAAAACAGTATTAGGAGGTATAGTGGGATTTTTAGGACAATTGCCTTCCTTTTGTCTCCATTTCTGCAGGTGAACATCAAAACCAGTGTTAAGCACATAGCATTTCTGTTGTGGGTACAGGGCCTCAGTGATGTGGCTAGGGCCCAGGGGCCCCTCCTTCCTCCATGGTGGTCGGTTGGTTAGGATCCTTGTGGAAAGGGGTCTCCTTGTAAATGAACCAGACGTTACCTGCCCACAGGATCAAGTTCAGAAAACCAAAAATCTGCAGGAAGACCAGAAAACAGATAAGATGATTAGTGACAACAAATAATGTTTGCTATGTATGTTTGATGCGTATAGTGTTCAGTTTCTGTTGACAACATGTTTAAGTGGTGCAGATTTAACTGGTCATTTGTGAGGTCAGTTTGTTGGGGATTCATACACTGCTCAACACCAACACTCATGGTAAAACTATAAAACACACTATAGTGTTTTCAAGTAAAAAAAATGGAATTTGAATATTGGTGACTGTAAAGTAAGATTTACCTGTACATTAGGGATGGGTATCATTTAAAATTTTAAGATACCAGTACCAAAATCAGTACCCTTAAAGTTATACCGATACCAATAGAGTACTTCATTTGATATCTTTAAAATGCCACCTGTTGAAGCCATAGTAGTTGGTAGCCTATTTTTATTTTTATTGTTGTTATGGACAAGCAAGGTTATCCATTTTATTTTTTCTTGCTTCAAATAACATTTATATAAAAGTATTGCTCTGTGAGTAAAATCAGCTGATCGCTGCTGCGCCACAAAAGCGTTTAATTGCTGTGATGGAACGCAGTGAACGATCAGTGACAAGTGATGTGAACAGCAAATAAAAATGTACAGATAAGTGTTCAATGATACCAGATGATGAAACCAACCAAAGCCAAGCTTGTGGTGATAAACTTGCAACAGCAACGAACATGCCTGAGACCACAGCCGAAGGTGAGCGGCTGTTAAAATCACGCATGGACTCGGCGCGTTATAAAAAAAAGGCGTGCTCTTTTCTTTCTTTTTGTGTGTTGCTTGTGTGTTTGGCTGCAAGCAAAATCATAGTCATTTTTTGCCTCGATCTGGTTACAAAAAGTATCGACTGAAGTACTGGTTTGACTGGTGAAGTTTCGATTCTACTCGATACTGGGCTGTTTTGGTTGATACCATAAAAAGGTATCAAGTAGCGATGCTCATCCTTACAGTACATCAACACTTACACTGATGTCAATAAATGTAGATACAAGGAAATTAAATATAAACAACTGACGCATTTATTTAGACTCAATTTACAAAGTGCATTCAAAATTGTATTACACATAGTTAACTCTACACTGCAGCAGCAAATAGTGAAGCCATCTCAGCAATGGAAGAGAATGTTTTCATTTTGAACACCAGATGGCGCTGGATGTACTGTGCCACTAGTGCTCATTAACAACAATAATACTATGTCATACTGCAGCAGTAAGGGAAAAGTTGGTAGTGATGCTAATCTGTTACAAAATGCTAATTGTAATACATTTACAAGTTAATGAACAGACGGAGTGTATGCTATCTTGGGCATGGGTGAGGCACAGTTATTTATGAAGCATCTAACACACACCATCAGCAACACATTTCTAAGGGAAGTAAATTAAAACTCTGCAGCTGTTTCCTTCAACAGTTTAGTGGATGGAGTGACAATATCTAGGACAAAGTTGGTCCCATGATGTTTGAAACTGATCAGTATATTTGTGAGATCTTCTTATTTACAATCAACAGTTCTACTAGAAAGTGCAAGCACTGGGGTCCTGTTTTTTCCCCACCAGCTTTAAGACATCTCTGCACTCTGCAGCTCTCCTAAATCCTGGAGCAGATAGGATCAGCTGTTCTAAGACAATAAAAGTAAATTACTTTATAGGACCAATATGGCCAGTCCGAGAATGTTGGGTCTCTTATTAGGGAGTTAAAAAGCAGCAGCAGCACTACTTCACCATGACTTACTACAGAGGCATTGAGGCGGCCCATGGAAGGAAACTCTCCTGGTGCACAGATGTCCTTGCATTGGTCCACTAGGTGTTCGGGGTTAGTGGCCCATTTGACATCAGTCAGGCCTTTGCCCCAGGCTGAGGAGGACACAAGCCACAGGAAGGCAAAGGCAGCAGTCACCACCAGGTCCTGGCAAGGAGTACACAGTAAATACGGAGCATGTTTACATGATTGCATACACATTATCATATTACACATGAGTATTTTATCACATGAGTATTCAGAAGGCTCTTAGTCGCTGTTGCATAAAATCCTTATCTACTACATAAAGATGAGTATACAAGAACAAAAATCCAGAATCCATTTCAAACATGCACGGATTGTGATTTGGCTACAGCCTTCATCACATGTGAAGGCTCCAATAATAATTCATAATGAATATATTTTAATCATTTCACAATCAAACTGTATTGGCTTATGTTTATGTGGTGTGCTGTTTTTGGCTATTTTACCATAGAAAGGAGACATTAACTGATCTCAATTCCCAGGTGGTTAGCCTTGATATTGCGCTTTCAGTTCGTAGTGTTTTTTCCAAAAATATTATAACCACATCAGTGTGTGAACTATACATAGCTTTCGACTGTGATTCTTACTGCTGAATCATTAATAGCTGCAAGCATGTAAGCCTGGGGCTGTGAAAGTATCAGGCATGTTTGTCTTATTAATACTAATAATTTTTATTATCATATGTAGCCATTTTTACTACAATTACGCTTCACACAACAGTTGCGGCTATGTTTGAGACCTGGCCTTTCTTTTCTCCATGAGAGGGAAGAATTTAGAAAGTTGTGTGGCGCTGGGGGAGCCCCCAGCTGCAGTAGTAGGCCTACATACGATCCGTTCACAGCGTATCGGTCGTACTAGCGACACAACCCGTTACCGGAGTGGGGCGGACCACGGACAGGACCGCTGCGTACGGTCAGGTGATTGTTCCCTCTGGCTGAATGAAGTCGGACGCTGCGCATGATCCATAGAGATTGATGGCAATAAAGCACGCTGTCAATATTTTTGAGACCCCAGAAATATCACAAACCATGCTTTTACACCTCTTTCTCCTTAGCATGTTGTGTTCGTCACCAGAGTTCACATCCTCCACAGTAACATTTTCCTCGCGCACCTGGTGTCGCTCCGATCGGCCAGCATTCAAAGCACAGGAAGAAAAAAAATTCTGCTGAATGAACACACACGTTTCAAGTGAAAATATGGCCTGTAATATTTTGTCTCCTCATTATACTGACAAAAAGAAAGAGATTTTATTAACGTTTATTTTATGAATTACATTTTAGTCTCGTCATTTTTAGTCAACAGTTAATATCGCCACAGATAGCATCTAAGGACATTATCGCCGTCTCGTCTTTTTCGTCAGGGAAAACGGTCTTTGATGAATATATTTCGTTTTGATTGGTTGTCTACAGGTTGTAAAGTAAAATTAAATCTCATCTTCTCCACATCACGATGCCGGGAGATACTTGGATCAAGCGCCAGACTGCTATTTGGAATTTCCATTCACAATAAAGGGAGGGGAAATTTGGCCCTTTTCTGTAGTTTTCACATGAAAATAGTGTTTTAACATTTAGATATCTTAATGTAAACATTATCTTAGTGTGGAAGTATTCTCGGTCTTCTCCTAGAGAACTGTGATGTAGTTAGGCTGCATTCGAACAGACTTTAGCTCCGCATCAAAAAACACAGTACAGTAGGGTTGCCAATGCAGGGGGCCAAAAAACGCAGTATTTTCCAGCAAAAAAGTTGAACAAGGGGGTTAGTAAGTCTGAAGAATCTCTGAGCAGAGGATGTGTACTCACTATGATGGGACCCCGGGTGGTCTGGCGGTAGACATTCTGGTAGCCCAGATAGAGGATCAGTGTGGCGGTGCAATAAAGGAACCCAAACACACCAACAGACACAAAAAACTCTGCCGAGGAGGAGAAGTCGCCCTGCAGGTAGGTCACATTGAATTGAGTCCCGTTACATATCGGGAGCTCATATGGTTTCGCTGGCAACCTGATGGAAGGTGGAGAGACAGAGAAGGCACTTTCAACAGTCGCTCTTTTGATGACTTTTACTCTCTTGTGTGATTTCAAAAGAAAACAAGTCCTCACCTGGGTCATGCTTCTATCCAAGGAACGCAAGAAGAGAATATATGTAAGGATTAAGCCAGACTTTAGATTTTATAAAGACTGTGTGCACAAATTAAACGGAACCTTCTACTCATCTGCAAGGTCGCAGATTAGCTCCATGGTAATGAAATTTTACAGGGGTTGGGATTTTACATTTTCTTTTAAGAAAACAATCTGAAAAAAAAAGGCCATTATGACCTAAGTACCTGAATGGGTAGAAAAACTCAGTCTTCACATTGTGCGTGTCCTGGGATCCTGGGCATTTGACTGTGAAGTGGGATGTCCCAGAGTAACCTCCAGTGGTGGCGAAGGCAAAAATGGTGAAGACCTGCAAAGGCAGAGAAAGGGTTAGCGGTTTTAAAACAGAGGCAAGTTTGTTTGACTGACCAGGTGTCTCATGCAATCACGCTTTTGGTTTTAAAGGAATTCCAACCCGATTCTGCTGCTGTAATTCTGAATGAATCAATAAATCAAATAAAATATGAATTGTCCTTTTATAAAAATTTAATTAAGACAAATTCAAAGTCTACTGCCTTATAAGATCGGTGGTAAGCTTCCACATTTCAGGTAGTCAATATAAAATACATTCCATGAGGCCTTTTATGTTCTAGTAAGAAACAGATGTGACGTTTTTCACCTCTGAACTAACTTCACTATCACTATTCTCTCTACAGTTGTTACATCCTTTTCCACACAGGAAACTTTATTTGCCATTTTGTGTGCTTCTACAACTGATCACAACGCTCTGTGAACCCCCCCCCCCCCCAGTTCCCTGCAGGGCCGAAATTCCCACATGGAGCATTTCAGAAAAAAACCATTTTGCCAGCCTGATTTTGCTGAATTGTTTAGATTTAGTAGATTTGGTAAGTTGTCCTTGAGTTTTGTGCTTCCACCGTGGTTAAGAAGGCGACATAGTTAAATTGTTGATCTGTTTTAACGGTGTTTATTGTTGATAAACGATCGGGGTTCCAAGGTATTTTATTTTTGAAAATCGACCGGATTCTCTTTGCTCTTTCTGTGTCTGACTTCCTGCCCGGCTCATCTGCTCGGTGCTGCTTGACGCTTCTTCCATCCAAAATAGACCGGCTGACTATTCTTCGCAGAGCAGAGAGACGTTTCTGGGACGCGCTGTGACGCTTCAGGTGTGATCACAAGCATTGACTACAATGGCAGCGATTTGCTCTGGCAGCCGCGGCACACGCAGCCTGTGTGAGTCCAGGGGGGTCAGGCTTTCTCAACTGTCTGTAACTCCCCCTCTATGCTGCTTCTTATATGAAGAAATCGGGTCAGATATTCCAATAAATACACTATATTACCAAAGGTATTGGGACACCCCTCCGAATCATTGAGTTCAGGTGTATAAAATCAAGCACCTAGGCATGCAGACTGCTTCTACAAACATTTGTGAAAGAATGGGTCTCAGGAGCTCAGTGAATTCAAGCGTGGCACTGTAAAGGGTTGCGACCTTGTGTAATAAGTCCATTCATGGGTTTCCATGCCCAAGCAGCTGCTTCCAAGCCTTACATAACCAAGTGCAATGCAAAGCGTCTGATGCAGTAGTGTAAAGCACGCCGCCACTGGACACTAGAGCAGTGGAGACGTGTTCTCTGGAGTGACCAATCACGCCTCTCTGTCTCGCAATCCGACGGACAAGTCCGGGTTTGGCAGTTGCCCGGAGGGCGGTACTTGCCTGACTGCACTGTGCCAAGTGTAAAGTTTGGTGGAGGGGGGGTATGGTGTGGGGTTGTTTTTCAGAGGTTGGGCTTGGCCCCTTAGTTCCAGTGAAAGAAACTGTTAATGTTTCAGCACACCAAGACATTTTGGACAATTTCATGCTCCCAACCTTTGGTGGAAACAGTTTGGGGATGGCCCCTCCCTCTTCCAACATGACTGCGCACCAGTGCACAAAGCAAGGTCCATGGATATGAATGAGCAAGTTTGGTGAAAACTTGACTGTCCTGACCCCCAACCCGATGAACACCTTGGGGATGAATTAAAGCGGAGACTGTGAGCCAGGCCTTCTCGTCCAACATCTGTGCCTGACCTCACAAATGCGCTTCTAGAAGAAGGGTCAAAAATTCCCATGAACACACTCCTAAACCTTGTGGACAGCCTTCCCAGAAGAGTTGAAGCTGTTATAGCTGCAAAGGGTGGGGCAACTCCATATTAAACCCTACAGATTAGGAATGGGATGTCATTAACCTTCATGTGTATGTAAAGGCAGGCCACCCAAAACCTTTGGCAATATAACATTTATGCATACACATACATTTCTATTAACTCAGTTTTTCCATGTTATTCTAAAGCATTCCTTTGCCTTATGTATAGTACTTGGAATTGCCACAAGGAGCAATACAAATAAACTTGCCTATAAAAAGGAACTTAAAAGTTGGAAAAAAACAAAAAACCAACACACTCCAAAAAGCAGGAACTTTCCTTTGTCCTGTATGTCTGGAATGACAAGTTAACTGCGACTACAATGAATGAATATTTTCCTCTGCCAAAGTAGTTTTTTAGATTTCATAAGAATGAATGTCAGCAAAAAGTTGAAGGGAAAAAAACAAGCTGATATCTTCTTCTATGCTGACAGCAGGAGGAATGGAAAGCAGAGGCTAACCCAGACCATTTCCTCTAACCTTTAATATGAACTGACAGAAAAACTGCAAATACACCACGGGGTCGCCACAGGGTCAATTACGCTGCAGCAGCCTACTATATTATTATTTTTTATACCTAATTGCTTATTTATTTTTAAGTTATTTAATGTGACAGGAATGCAAAACAGACATACATTTAATGTAGGCTTATATCTTTATTTACAATTAACCATAAATTAATAGCCCAGGCTTTTATTTGCTTCCATCAATTAACTCAACTTGCCTATATTTGGGACACAATTTCACACAAAACTGATGGGAAATACTGTATGAAGAAGAGAAAGCCAATATTGACTATGAGCTAGCCTCGAAAATCCAGGTGTTTTCTAACATTAACTTAGCACTCCTTATTAGCTAGGCTCCTTACATGCTTGCTAATACCTTTTTTTTAAGCTGGGTCTCCGACATTGACAGCGTTCATGAGGGACAGAGAGAGAGAGGGGACGAGCGAGAAGATGTGCTGTGCGAATGTGCTACAGCGCACTGCAATCAAATACGATTTTAAATAAGCCTAGATAAAAATATCAAAAATCAATATGTGGCTGTCAGCATTGATATTGTGGCGGGCCGCCACAAATAAATCAACGTATGGGAAACAGTGGTACTCCTCAAAAATATTCTTGCTGTGTGCCTTTGGGGCCTTTTTGTATGGTTATTTTAAACCATTTCTTTATTTAATTTACAGAACATTACAGTATCGTGATTCTGTTACCATGATATAAAACGACATAGAAGATTTTGACCAACTCTAGGGGTGCTGCAGTAACTGTTTGTATGTATAACCACTTCGGCACAGGCCTGGCACGTCGCACATATTTGTTGTTGATTGTTGATGTATATTTTTATGTTGTCAGTTTATATATTTATATGTACAAAATATTCTCTTCCGTTGCGTTACTTCTGCACGGCACAGACCCAGAATAATGCACATGTATATATCTGCAACGTTGTTCTTCTATTCCATATTTATATATTTCTACATTTATTTATGTTGACTGTATGTTTGTCTACGTGTAGCACCTTATCACCACAGCAAATTCCTCGTATGTGTAAAACACTCCTTGGCATTAAAGCTCCTTCTGATTCTTCTAGTACCTAGAAACACCCGCCTCCAAACACTTTCCGCCTCTCAGGACATCCTTCCACCAATAAAAAGCTTCTGATTAGGGCATGTGATTCTTACTTCCGTGCATTTTCCTCAAGAATAATGTCCTTTGTTCACTTACAATCACGTCTAATAAAGCACATTCCCAAATCATCAGGGTACTTTTCAGCTACATAACAGTTGTACGTATGGGCTAAAGCACAGGGCCAAGCACTGAGGTCAACAGCCTGCAGGGTGCAATAGTGTAAAGACAGCTTAGATAAACAACAGAGACACACACAGAGAAATGCAGCGCAGTATTTAGCAAGCTTCAGCCCGACCGAGGATTTTCAGGAATGGGTTTCATCTTTCAGGTGTCAACATTTCTCAGCTTTCATCTCAGCCCTGTTTGACCCACCCAGGCCAATCTGACAGCACCCCAAATAAACCCTCCAGACAGGGCGGGGTTCCCTATCCAGAGTCCAGTGTCCGGCCCTGCCTCCCACAGACTAACTGAAGCATTCCTCACTCCCTCTCCTGATCAGGGAGCGGCAGGATAGATAAGACACAATAGCAACCAGTCACAAGGTTCTGCCGATAGCAATTTAGCATTAGCAAAAACCTTTATTTGTGTATAGCATAATCATGTGGACATAAGGCAAAAGTAAACCAAAAACAGTCCCAGCAGGTCATGATTACAAAAATAACCAGATCACTGCCTCCCTAAGCAACGACCATCCCAGGGTCGGGACTTGATACTGTGAGAAACTGCCGTTACCGGTTAATGTCGATACTGTTTACAGACTGGGCATAAAGACCATTTTTACATTCAGTAATATCAATTATAAACATCTTCAAAGCACATTACAGTAGAGGAGGGAGGAAAACAGTTTCTCCCAGCACTAGAAAACTAAGAATGTTAATTAGATTCACTCAGTCAGTACATTAACCTACTCCAGTGATAATATCCGTGACTTGATTGCGCTGGATGGATTTTTCTGCCCTGATTGACTTGTGATCTTGTCACATCCGTTGCTCAGAATTCAGTTTTTTAAGCTAGTGTTTCCCACAAAATTATTTAATCAGTTAATAATGCTTGCCACATATTGATATTCTATTTTCTTTTTTACTAAAATGGGTAAAATCTTATTTCATGTAGAGCAGCGCAGCTCATTGGCTCGCTCAGTGATAGGTATGATGAGCAGGAGGACAGCAGCCAACAAGCTGCAGTGAGAGAGCCACCTAAGGCAGAAGCAACAGGTGAGATTGACAGCAGGTAGGTGTAAAAGCAGGGTAGTCAGAAAAGCAGATTTCACAGGAAAAGGGGCCTCATTTCTAGACGTTGTCATTTGTTTGAACAATATATACAACTCCATTGCTTCACATTGTCAGGTTTTTTTATTTGTCACAAAGTACTTTTTTAAAATTCAAATATTTGCAGTGGAACACCTTCTGTGCACTTAAACAGCCCCTGCTTGCTTGCTCTGCTTCTGCTCAAACTGTACGCCTGCACTCAGATATATTGTTGCTGCACAGATTTCCTGCGCTCCAGCCCTTCTCCTTGCACGCTCTCACTTCCGCTTCCGC